TGGAATCGCGGTGTCAATGATGATGGGGTTACCGTGTTCATCGAGGGCAGGAGGCGCGTCACGGGCTGTGTTATCCTGGTTGTTGTTGATGGCGGGGTTGCTATTGCTTGGAAGACTCATCGCTTGAAGCCTTGTGTTGCTGTTTTTAAAATTTATTCTCCTAGTCCCCACAGACGGCGTCAATTGTTGAACCAGAAAATCACTAGAGAAAGCCTAAATTTATCTCAGCAAGTCGGCGCAGAGTTGAACCAGGATATATGCTTTCCTAAATTTATGGAAACTCGCCATTATCTCCAAATGATTTTCTTTATCTCAGCAAGTCGGCGCAGCTATCTTGATCTTGGTGGGTTTAAGTTATTGCTAGAGAAAGCCTATTAAAAAAATGTATTTATTTTCCCTTTAACATAGGACTTCGACTTTTTATTAATATAAAAACTTTAAGAAAAAAAAATCTGGTTGGTTTTAATAGAATAATTTGCTCCAAACTTTCTACATATACATTTTGTTTTGTCAAATGTTTGTTTTCATTCAACTTATCCGAAGATGGTCTATACAAAAAGGAAATACAAATAAAAATGCTACCAGAGTTAAAACAACTGCAACACATAATGCAGAAACAAGATAAATCATAAACATAGATGGAGGAGAAGAGTATAACAAGCCTTTGTACACCATGTAGAGAGCCTGCTATCTCGAACAGATCCGTTCTCAACAAAGGAGCAATAATTAGGACATCTGAGTCCAAAACCACTTGGAGCAAAGTAAAACTTGCGGAGAGAGCATCCTTGAGCACTAAAGGGAGAACAAGGGCTTCTTGAGGCAGCAACTACATAGATGCTTGGGAGTTGTCACTGAGCTTGGACCAAAAGATGAGGTTCCAACAGCAGCCAGCAAAAAAACATTAGAGAAGGCCATAGATTTTATCCTCAAAATGACCAAAACTCTTACATATCTCAAATTATGCAAAATAACTTTTCCCATCTAAAAGGGAAGAAGAAAGATCTAGCATCTCCAGAAAGGAGGAAACTTGACCGCATGTTAGTATACTAAACCAAAGCAAATATCATAAAAGATCTTTGAGAATTACCGTCACTTTTGAAATCTCCACAAAGAAGAAACATATGAGATGTAAACAATCCTCATACAGAGGTAAACAAAGCCTCATAAAGAGGTAAATGAAGCCAAATGGAAGGTAATTTCTGAACAGGGCCGGTTCCAAAAAATAAAACTCACGGAGAGTACCTTTAGAAAGAGAGTCCTGTGACAGAGCGGGTTGTTGTTTGGAGAGGCAAAGATTAGGCCATCGAAAGAAGCAGACAAGGGCGGATCCAGGGAAAGGTGAAAAGGTTGCAGCTTCATGGATGGTGAATACGCAGCTCGGATAGACCAGCAAGCTCGGATTCAGCGGAATAGGAGGATTTGATGACTGCGACAGGGTGTGGGAAAGGATTGGGAACTCAGTCCTCATAAGCTCCACAAACCCCATCGATAACCCCATTGAAGAGAGATCTTTTCTGACAAATATTGAGAGCGAGACTAAGGGTGGAGGAGCAACCGGCAGCGGATCTGGATCTAGATCCGAGAGAGGAAAGAGGAATGGCAGAATCAAAACTCGAGCTAACACCAATAGAACCATGAGTGCAAAGAAGAAAGGAAGAGGAGGGGAGAAGAAAAAATTCTCATATGTAGGCGTGAGGCCTTACCAATGACAGCCCCAAAGAAGAACTCTAAATCTCTAACTTTGTCGCCAGAGATAGACCGTTTTTTATTCCTGATTTTTATACATACATTTTTATACTCTTTAATTAATTTGTACAAATTCAGTTATTGTATTTATAGCTATTTCAGCCCCGAAATCCCGTCATGCCCCTGCAGCGATTCAGAACTGTTCTTTAATTCTTTTACAATCACCAATGGATTCATCTTTTGGACGGCTGAACTTCCACAATATTTAATTTTGTTAGAGTTATATGAAACTTGAACAAATTAGCCTTTGCCAACAATCTTTTTCATGGCTAAACCAAATTTCTTATTGTTTTACAACACAATTAAAATATATATATATATAGCCAAACGCAACATTTACATATAAAACTAAATTTAAAACCAAAGCACATTTAAATGATAAACTAGGTATTTACCCGCGCTACGCTGCAGAATATTTTTCTAGATTTTATATATATTTTTAATATAATAAAATTATTTTTATAATATAAATGAATATTATATTTATTTTTTATTAGCTTAAATTGTGTATTTATATGTTTTAAACCTGAATAAACATTATATATCCTTAATTTTTTATTTTTCAAAATTATAATCTACCATCAAATTTTTTTAGCTAACTATCTAAAAATATATATGTAAAAATAAAACAATATATTTTTAATGCTAATGGCGAATGTAATTTATTTTCTTACTAAATTGCCACTTGATCCTCCTTTGAAATTATATAAAGCAAATTGCTATTTAAAAAATAATTAATTAATATAATTATTTTAAATTATAAAATTTACTTAATAATCAAATATTTATTATAAACATATGTTTCTAAAACTACAAAACTCTAATCAATAACATTCATATCAAAATTATTGCTATTCCTTTAGAACTAAATAGAAAATTTTGTTTGAACTATTGAAATATCAATTTAGTTGAAGTTAAATAATTTAATTTGGATTACTATAAAAATATTGTAATTTGAAAATTTAGCACAGATAAATTTTATCTTTTTACAAAAACCGAAAAATTGTATTTTCCGACAAAACAAAATTTTTTTATTTACCCACAAAACTAAAAAATTGCCTATTCCCGTCAAAACAAAAAAAAAATTTATTTTCTCGTCAAACCTAAATATTCATTTTTCTACCAAAACAAAGAAATTGCATTTTTCCCGGAAAAACAAAAAAACCACATTTTTCAGCGAAAACCTGTATTTTCCTGCCAAAATAGATAAATCAAGTGTTTTTCACCAAAACAAAAAAAATTCATCTTCCTGCAAAACCAACAAAATCGTATTTTTCGGTCAAAACCGAAAAAGTATTTTCCACAAAAACCGAAAATCGTCTATTTCCGCCAACAAAAAAAAAAAAATTTCTCGTCAAACCAAGAATCTCGCCTTCAAACCAAAATCGATAAACTACAATTTCCCACGAAAACCAAAAAATGCATTATCTCTTGAGTAATTGCGTTTTCCGTGAAAACTAAGAAATCGTATTTTTCCGCGAAAACTAAAAAATTATCTTATATATAAAAAAACTGAAAATTTGCATTTCCCATCAAAACCGAGATATTGTTTATTCCCGCCAAAATCGAGAAATTTTGTTTTCCCATCAAACCAAAAAATTGCATTTTCCGCCAAGATTGTCAAACTACAATTTCCCGCGAAAACTAAGAAATCACATTTTCTCGCGAAAATCAAGAAATCACATTATCCATTAAATCCAAAAATTTGTATTTCCTATCAAAACTGAGAAATCGTATTTTTCGTCAAAATTGAAAAGTTGCATTTTCCTCGCATTTTCTTGTCAAAACTAAGATATTTTGTTTTCGGGTCAAAATCAAATTTTTTTTCTCACCAGAACCAAAAATTCACATTTTTCCGCCAAATCCAAAAATTCACTTTTTCGGCCATAACCGAGAAATTATGTTTTCCTACCAAAACTGAAAATCATATTTTTCTACCGAAACCAAGAAATTCTCTATTCCTGCCAAACCCAAGAAAATTTGTTCTCGGTAACTACTGGAAATGTGAATATGCAAGCTGTGGTGGTCTGAGCTTTTCCTCATTTGCTTTCGACTTCCATTTTTTTGTAAACTTTGGGCTTTTTAATGGGTGAGCAAAATGTTAAACCGATTTTATTAGTGTGTTAATGATATGTATTATTGTTATGTTTTTATTGGTTCAAATTTTTGTTGATGTGTGAGCTTCTTATAACATAAAATTTTCTGCGTTGTTGTTATGGAAGCATAATTAATGATGAGTCTACACTTTCTTCAATCATATACGTCTCTATTAAGTAAACACATAGTTATAAATTTTAATTTTTTTGTTGTTATTTATTATTTTGCAAAAAAATAAAACAAAAATTTTTTTTTTATTTGTTGTTATTTATTTTTTGGATTTGGGGATGGTAAAAATAAAACAAATTTTTTATTTGCTGTTATTTATTTTGGGCTTGGGTTTTGCAAAAATAAAACAATGATTAACAAAGAAAAATAGGGTTTTTAATGGGTTTAAGTTAAAAATAATAAAAGTTAGTAGATGATATATATTAATAAAATGTTTTAATGGGTTTAATTAAGTTTATAGATGGGTATGTATATTTTATCTTTTGGGCTTTTATAAATGAAATGGATGATAAATGAAATGGGTGATGTGTGTTAATGTTTTAATTTGATTGGTGAATTTTTTTGCTGAAGTGTCATCTTCAGAAAGCTCCAAAATGCTGATGTGTTTTCACCAGGAGAGACATTTGTGTTTTTGTTGTATTGATATAAATGTTGCATTTTGATGAGCATTCATATGAAAAACAAACCAGATCAAAAAAAATTGTTCTGAATTTTGTCGTTACTAAATCATTTGATGATAATAAAAAAAGCTTCCCAATTAATTCAAGTCAAGAAATTCATACGAGTAATCTCAGCTAAATGGAAAAAGGAGAAATTAACATAAACTCAGTGAAATTTGTGTGGACTTACAAAATACCATTACTTATATAATTTGATTGCTCTACTTAGATTAGTTTTTGTTCTGAATTTTGTCGTAGCACACCTCAACCTTTGCGATAGGGTGGAAATTTAATCTGTTACTTTTAAGAATCTTAGTTTTAAGCGATTTAAGTAGTTCAACTGGATAACATTAGTCAAGATATAAGATTTTTTTCTATGTTGCCAAAAAAACCGAAATAATCTGAAAAAAATAATTAAAACTAAAAACAGCTAGCAAGATACTAGCCTATAACTACTACCATAAAAAAAAACATGAAAACATTTGTGAATCAGAAATAACCATTCCCATAAGCAAAACTGTAGTTATTGGAAAGACCAGAAGACATGTTCATGTAAGAAGGAGCCGTCACTTTATTATCCAAGAAACCATACACATCCTCTTTCACCTCATAACACGGCACCGTATTTGTCTCCGGCACAACCGTTTTCCTCAACTCCTCCAACGCAGATTTCATTTCCTGTAACTGAACCATGTTCATCTCTTCCACTGGTCCTTCCCACCAATTGGTCACCGAACGGCGTGCATTCGTTTTTCTCATTTCATCAAGGGCCTGAGCTCTCTTCTTCTCTTCCTCTACCTCGCTTATAATTTGCGTCAACCGCACATTAAGCTCGCAGCTTGCTGGAGGGTTTCCCTGCGGTTGCTGCGTCTGAGCTAAGGATAGATTATTTCGAGCCATGTACCGGTCCAAGACGGATTCAACACTTGGATGGCCGAAAGAGAAAGGCTTGTTTGCAGGAGAAAACACGATGATCCCAATCTCTGCGCCGCACAACGTACAAAGCTCACTAGCTTTCTTGAATAGACCAGCTCTGCGTTTAGAGAATGTAACTTGCCTGTGACTCTCTTTCTTTATCTTAACCATTGGAATTTTCTGTCTTCCGAGGCTTTCTTTCTTCTTTGACATCATATTTTATATATCAGGTTTTTGTTGTTTTTCTTTGTTGGACAATTTGGTGGAGAGATTGTTTGTTTATATACATATACTTGAGTGTGGCGTGGCATTATTATGAGATCGATTTGTATAGTTGGCAACAACAACAACAAAATTGTAACAGCAACTTTGTAATTACTCACTTTGTTCTTAATTTTGTGGATAGATATAGTAAACTTCTGAAGATTTGTATAAGTTATAAAATCTTAGCATGGTAATGTAATGATTTATTTCTTTTTCTTTGTATCATTTTATTGTGTATAAATGTATGATTTTCTTAATCATTGCTTTTTATGTTACACAAATGGTTGCAATCAAAACGTCTACACACGTTAATTTAGGCTGCAGATCAAAGTACATCTAATAATATTAATATGTACATAGACAAATTATTGTAACACATAAACTTTATCAAAATAGTTACTAGTTAAAAATAATTATTATGAATTAGTCGATAGCCCTATCATCAAATACAAAATTTTATGGTGTTAGATTCAGTCACCTCTTTCACCATCGTATCGCTTATAAAAAGAAATAGGTTACACCTCTTTTTGCTATTGTATTTATGAATACTTTTTTTTCAACTGATTATATTAATATAAGTTTAAAACGAAACTACAATAGCAGATAGAAGTAGACGACTGGATGTCAAGGAGTTATCACTTGTTATAGAAAGTTAAACCAAAGCAGTAAAAAGATAGGTTATGTAGTCTAAGTCGAAGACAAAGACTGGAAGTTTCTTCAAAAGGGCTTCTGAGATCGATTTGAAATCGATCTAAAGTTTTTCTGCCATTAGAGGCAAGCGAACAATAATATTAGCTCGGCATGTTGTTGCAGCTGAGCGTTTAAGAAGGTTCTCCATAGAAGAGAAGAGCAGATCTGAGATACGTTGGTAAGTTGGCAATACTCAAAAACTGCAGCTTCGAATGAAGCACCAGTATTTATGAATACACAATTGGCTAGAATTGGCTAAATCACTCCAATAGTACATAATCTTCTAGTCACATAGTTTTAGTGTATTCAAGGCTGGATCTAGAAACATAAATCATAAGCATAAAATAGTCAATATTTAAATAAACTCAATACTTTCAAAATTAATATTATAATAGTATAATAAACAGGACTATAAATAACATAATACAAAATACTATATATTAAACATATCACATCTTTAGTTAAAAATTAAAATCAGAAAATTAGTACATTAAATACATAAAATTGAAAGAAATGTTATTTGAAGTGTTAACTTTTTTGTGTGCAAATTTTGAAGTGTTAGTTATAATTGGGTATTTTGGGTTTATAGCTGGTCAAAAAATAATGATTGAAGAAGAAGAATATTGACCGACTTTAGAATCGAAATTAAAAGATTTCACAATGATTAAATATTTTTTTTAAATTTTCTATTTCTTTAATTATCGTATCTTAAATATCTGCGCTGATTGCTTTGCTAGAAGACTTTGAGGTTTGTGGTTTCAAAAGAACTGGCTTACAAACCAAATTCTTTTAGAACTTAAGATTTAAAATGATGTATTTTAATTATTAACTATTACTAAATTACGAGAATAATTGCAGAGACAATTTGACATCGGATAATTTTGTCCGCCTAAAATTATTTATAAAAGCGGTTCACCTACACCTATACTAGGGATGTCAATTTGGGCCAAAGCCCGAAACCCGGCCCGGCTCTAAAAAATATCGGAATTGAGCTTTGATATAAAAGCCCAAAAAATCAGGTTTTTTGGACAAAACCCATTCGGGCTAAGCTCATTCGGACTTAAGTCCGATCGGTCTCAGGCTTACCCGAAAAACCCTGTACTTTATATTATAATTTTATTTAGAAATTTTTATTAATAAATTATCTTCACGCTTTTAAAATATTAGTGTTATTAATTTTTTAAAATTAGAGTTTCTTAAATTTTTTATAATACTTTTTATTAATATAAAACCTTAATTTTTAGTTGTGTGTCTTCATATAACATGAATGCTCAAACTAAACTAGTTTCAAAAAGCACTTCTACCTTCATCCTGAAGATTCTCATCTCGATTCTATCGTTTTCACTATTTACTTTACTTATTTATTTAATTATATTTGATGTTAGAATTTATATGAATTTATAAGTTAAAATTCTGCTTTCAGATTTGATAAAATCTCGATAACCCTGTTAAGACCGGACTGAACTTTAAAATATAGGCCCGATATATTATCGGACTAGACTGGACCGGACTTAAATATGTGCAGGCGGGTTTTGGGCCGGGTTGGGCCAGCCCGTTTGACATGCCTAACCTACACCTTTGAGACACTGAATTACGAAAAACGGGCCTACTTTTACTGTATCGGAAAATCTCATATATGTTTCCTTCAGTTAATCATCATAAATTGCATTATTTATAATATTTAATTAAGTGATCGGCCTGCACTGCACTATGTAAAAATTATAAAATATTTAATATATTTAGTTATTATTGATATAATATTAAAAATATGTTATTTGTATATAATTAATTATGTATTAATAATAATAAATGATAAATTAGATATAAAATGTTAAAGATTTCAAAACAAAATAAAAATAAAAAATACTAACTAAAATTTTAACATATTTTATTAAATCAAAAATTGTAAATATGATAACTAAATAAATAGAAAAACATGAAAATCTATAATTATCTATTTAGTTTTTATTTTTTGCTCGCACACATGTGCATGTATATTTTTTGACATAATTAGTTATAATATTCAAATATTATTTTAATTTTTTATATTTTATGTAAACATTATGTTTATATACATATATAGTTTTAGTGTTCAACAACAATCACACAAATATTTCCTATCTTTTGTGTCTTTTGAAATTTTTTATTTTTTCAAGCATTTACATTAACAAATAATTACAAATATAAAAGTTATATTAAATAATAATTAAACTTTTATAATATGTTTTGAATATAATCTACACTATACTTTCTTTTTATCTTTACACAATATATATATATATTAAGTATTTTTTTTCTTTGACATATTGCTAATTAAACCAAAATGAATTTTACCATATTTACTTATCTTAAGAGCATGCAGATGGTTGCTCCGTACATTCGTGCGTACCAACCACCTCACTGCTCTTAGGACATATAAAGATTTTTAAAAAATATATAAATTGTCTATGAACTAAAATTAAAATTAGAGTGTAATCATATTTTATAAAATTCTCCAGTAGCTCTCCGCTCATCTCTTCGTCAAAAATTTTAATAATCTGCAATCGCTCGCTTCCACAAACTCTCTGTCACATAATCGTTTAAGCCAGTCAGATCTTAACTTATTTGTATATGATTAAAGGTGTAAAATAATATATTTAATATTTGTTGTTATATTAAAAATTAAGAGTTGATCTGTTCCTAACTTTAATATATTTGTTAATACAAAATATAATGGATCACAACATATACAAAAATTTGATTAATGTAATAATATTTTAATATTTTGGAAAAAATATATGCATGAAAGAATTAATATGTGTAAAATAATATTTTTAAATATTTGAAATAAAAAACATAAAATCGATCAAAACTATTCTTATTTTTTTCTCTTTTTTGTAAAAACTCAAGTTCGATCTATGAAAGAACTAGGGTTTGTGGGTTTAAAGAAAAGTTTTTTATTAGAAGAAGCCGGAGCTTGAATGAAGACACGGAGGTTTAGGTCGTCGGAATAAGAACGCCGACATAAACTTTTATGGAAAGTAAATCGAAAGCTAGAACAACCAGATTGCTTAGTTTGCCCTAGGTCTCGATAGATGATTTTAGGATGCCTCTGAGAAGTCGGGGACTTCCTATATTTATAGCTGACCAGGTCGGTCTTCAACAGGTTTAGAATAGGAAAGTCTTCTTGCCGACAAGAAAGAATTTCCTTTTTTCCCGGGTCGCTCGATAAATCGAAGATTTCCATTTATATCGCCGACCTGAAACTTGTTAGATGGGCCGATCAGAATTTATATCGGGCTTGTAGAGATGGTACGAATCTCATCTCTAACAGTAAGTCCCCCCCCCCCCCCCTAGTTCGGTAAGTGAGGATGCGTTACTTGGCGAATTTTGAGAAATGATGCTCGGTGTAGATTCTGGTCGGCTGCAAAAGAGTTAGAAAATATAAAATGTAAAATTACCTTGAGTTCAGATCGGCACAATCTCATGTGTTAGATGATGAACTTGGGCGCGAGAAATTCCCGCCAAAAGCCTTATAGAGTAGGCCTAGGTCTGCACATGCAGAACTAGGGTTGCCACGTGTCAAAAATAAGAGGAGGAAAACTAAGAGGCCGATTAAAAATAACGAAAAGAAATGCGAAAGGTCGGCGATCTAATGATTACTCTCGATAACCGCTCTCATTTTAATATAAATAAGAGTGGTTCGGCTTTCAATTCTTAACTTCTGCGATTTAGCGAAACTCTGTCAAAATCAGGTTTGCTCTCCTTTCTCTCTTCTCTGTTCTTCATTTGTTTTAGATAGAATTTTCCGGTTAGACCTCCGTCGCGTTTTGTTTCAAGCGCCGCCTTTGATTTCTCCGATTAGTGGAAGCTCTGTCGCATCATTATGGGCAAGGGTGTCAAGATTAGTGAAAGCCGACCAGAGTCGAGGACAGTCAGATCGGCTAAAGAAAGGGCTGACGAGATCGGGATCTCTCTGGATGAGTTCCTCCAGATAGAAAGAGACGACCAGGCCGTAAGAGGGCGATCAAAAGGAAAACAGGTCGTTGTCGAAGAACCAAAGTCAGATCGGTCCTCTGATGCCAGCGTCCTATTCGCGCTAGTTCGTGCCTTCCAGGAGCGAGTTATAGTAGAAAATCAACAGGCCGCAGCCGATCGCTTTCACGCCGACCAGGTCGGGGCTGCTCCGATGGGTAGAGAATCATCTTCTTGGGAACCGTTCTTGATCCCGCAGTTAAGAGATGAGGAAGACGAACGTGGTGGCTCGAATGAGATGGATATCT